TCTTCTTCTTCTTCTTCTTCTTCTTCTTCTTCTTCTTCTTCTTCTTCCTCTTCTTCTGCAGCAACCCCCCACACACACACAATTTTTTGGCCTCCTGGGCCTCAGGGGAGCCTCCTGGGGGGGCATTTTTGCTCCCAGAGGCTTTCCTGGGGATCAGAAAGGCAAACAATGGGGCCTGGGGGGCGGGCGCACAGCCCCTCCCTATGCTCCATTTTTGGGCCTTCTGGTGAAAGCAGTAAGACAGTGAGGGGGAATCCCAGAACAGCTGATCGTTGGGCAAAAAAGAAATACCTTAAGGAGTGACTGGGCGGGGAAGAAGGCGGTCAGCGATGTCACACATGCATGATAAGGACTGACTGGGTGGGGTGGGGAGGGGAAGGCAGAGGGGGGCGGAACCAGCCAGGGTCACCATTTGCCAGTTTTCTGAACGGAGCAAAATTGTAACAGCCGGTTCTATAAAACCGGTCTGAAACGATCGAATCCCATCCCTGGCAAGAAGAGAGGGAGGTTTGTGGAGAGGAGGAGGAGGAGGAGGAGGAGGAGGAGGAGGAGGCGGCGGCCAACTGTGGGATCCTTGGAATTCTTGGTTGTTTTCTTGCAAACATTTCATGACCCAACTAGTGAACAACATCAGTGCCAGAAGGGAGAGGGATTTGTTCTCTGTTTGTTGGGGGTGTTACTTTCTTCTTGGTGATTCCTTCACCTGTTGGTAGTTCCTAGATTGGAGTAAAAGAGAGTAAATAGCCCTCCCTTCCAGCACCACTAAGCTCAGAGAGCAACCAGGATCTCACACTTGCCGCCCTCCTCTTCCTCCTCTTCTTCTTCCTCCCCTTTCCTCCTCCCCTACCTCCCCTCCTCTTCCTCCTCCTCCCCCCTTCCTCCCCCACCACCTCCTCCTCCTCCTCTCTGCAAACTCCTTCCCTTGGAGCATTGATGATATTCCCTAGATAGGTCATGAAACATCTGCAGGAAAAGAGCCCAGCTCAGAGATCACCAAGGCCGCCAGAGTCCAATCCTGACCTGCCAAGATTCGCTCCCCTCTGGACAGCAGCCTCTAAACCCCAGGGTGAAGCCCCCTCCCCTCTGTTGAGTCAGCCCCTCCCCACAGTCTTCCCTCACCCCCTCAGGCTCCTTCCGCTGTGCTTCGTCAAGATCACCATCCATGACCAGGAGAAGAAGCAGCTGCGATTCAAGATGGTGACGGGCCGCACCTTCTACCTCCAACTTTGCCCCCCAGCAGACAACCAGAAGGACAACTTTGACTTGTGGGTCAAGGTCGTCCATCTCCTTCGGCCCCCCTCGGACATTCACCAGGATAAGTGGCGCCAAGACCCGTGGAAGTCTGAGGATTTAGCCCCCCAAGCAACCGCCGTAAGTTGGACTTTGGGGAGATCTGGAGGCAGGGGTGGGATTCTACCGGTTCAGGCCGGTTCTATAGAACCGGTTGTTATGATGCCATAACATGAATTGGCTGGCTTCACCCCTCTCCGCCCCTCTCCCCTCCCCGCCCAGTCAGTCCTTAGCACGCATGCGCGACATCGCTGACCAGCCCGGCCACCACTTAAGGTATTTCTTTCCTTTTTACCCCTCCCAACGATCAGTTGTTCGGATGATCAGCTGTGCCGGGATCACGGGTGGGATTCTACCTGGTCAGTCAGGTTCTATAGAACCTGTTGTTATGATTCTGCACAGTTCAGAGAACCGGCAAATCGCGCCAGTGGCTGGCCCCTCCCCTCCCCGCCCACTCACTCCTTACCTGGCATGCGAGCCATCCAACTTGCCTGCCTTTGGTAAGTTGCTATTTTTCCTTCCCCCGCCCCCCCCCCCAAAAAAAACCCATCAGCTGCTCTGCTGTGCCAGGAGATTTAGATTAGCTAGAAAGCTGGAAATTATTGGATTTCTTGCTTTCTGGCTAATCTAAAAACAGAGCTGAACCTTCCTTAGGACTGAAGCTTCTATTTTTCAGTGCAGGCTCAGGCAACAGATGGCAGAAAGGTAAATCTCTGAGTGAACCTGTGATTCTGTGTGAGCAATTCAATCTGCCTGCCTGCTTGGCCTGATTTTGGGTTAAAGTTGCTCTTTTTTAATAAAAAAAATTCAACATTTACATAAATATTTACAATATTTACTTAGAAGCCACGCCCACCCAACAAGCCACACCCATCCAGTCATGTGACCACCAAGTCACATCCACAAATAAGGCCATGCCCACAGAACTGGATGTTAAGAGATTTGAATTCCACCCCTGCCTGGGATCCCCCTCAATGTCTTACTGCTTCACCCAGGAGGCCTCCCTGAGGCCCAGGAGGCAAAAAAGGGGTGCAGGGGGGAGTGCACCCCCACCCTTGCTCCATTTTTTCCCTCCTGGGCCCCAGTGAAGCTTCCTAGGAGCAAAAACGCCCCCCAGGGAGCTTCCCTGGGGCCCAGGAGGAACCAAAACAGGGAGGGTGCTCCAAAAAGAAGCCATGCCCACCCAGTCACCTGGCCGTGCCCACCTAGCCACACCCACAGAACTGGAAGGAGGGAGCAGCCCTCTTGGAGAGAGTGTTGAGGTAATTCCCCCTTAGGAGGATGAGCGCATACAGGGAGACGTATAGAGAGTAGTGTAGGAATAATACACACAGAGCACACAGATACACTGCACAGTAAACGTAGGTTTTTACTTCCAGAAACGTTAAGCAAAGTCCAAACAAGCAATCCAAAGTCATTCGCAAGTTAAATCAGTCAGTTTTCAATCCAGGGATAATCCAAATATCAAAGTCCAGTGTCAAAAAACAGTTCAGTATCAGACTTACATTAAATCCAGTAATATCAGTCAATTAGAAGAAATGGAGCAACGGTAATACTTTCCAACAGAAAGAAACAGAGATACACTTACACTCTTTTCTGAGACTCAGACTAAAACAATCCAAGTTTCTGGCTCCATCTTATGGCTGTTTGAGAAACCACACCTAATTCCAGTTTTGCATTTTCTTAAAGTTACAGTTTTAAAATGTTTATCCTGGTTTATATATTTCTAACCCAAATAGCTGTTAGGTGACTTATATTCCTAACAGAGAGGGTTCCCCTACCCCACCCAACCCTGCATCACTTTCCTTCTGCCCCCACAGAGTTCTGCCACCCAGGCCTCAGAGGAGAGGGAGATCTCGATCGCAGAAGTGATGAGCACCCTTCAGGAGGAGATCCTGGAAAGTCCCACCAACACCCTGGACTTCATGGACACTCCCAGCATCTCCACCAGCCCCGCCCCGACCTTGGTGGCCCTCCAAGAGAGGCTGGAGACCCCTTTCCCTCCACTGGAGGTCCACAGCTCCATGGAGGAGCCCTGGAGGGTTCCCCTGGAGAGGAAGGAGAGCCCCTTGGCCCTGTCGCCCGTCAGCAGATTCAAGACCGGAGATGCTCACAAGGAGACCAAGGAGGTGGTCCATGGGGCAGGAGGTCAAAGGTACTTCATGGGAACTGCCAGAGTAGGGTCATCTTGGGGGTGGGGGGTGGTTCCATGGGGCACTCTGAGCTTGGTGTCAGGATTCCAGCAATCGCCCTCATGAAATCATGATTCTCGAGCCAAACTTCAAAAAAATCCAAAGGATTCATTAGAGGCGACATACTGGCCCTGCCCTAGATGAAGCCAACTCTGGCCTACATGATTGACAGTCCCCTGTGACCCTGTTTCCCCCCCCCTCCTCCTCCCTGGGTGTGTCATAAATCACATTCTCCAATTGAGCACGTTCACAGTTTGGGTGTTATCAATCACATTCTCCAGTTAAATATATTCGCCGGCAAAAGCTCTGGTAGTTTAGTTACAACCTTTTAAAGAGAAGAGTTGGAATGTACTTTTGCTTCCAAACGGCTGCACGGCTCCTCCAAACTTCCTTCCTTCCCCCCCACCCCTTTTTAATGGCAACTACTAAAACAGGCATAGGAACGTTTTATGAGGTGACATTTGGCTGTTTTTCTGCCGTTGTTTCATAACCCAGCTAGGTAACAGCATCCGACCAGAAAATATTGCCTTCAACGGGAATGCAGGGATTAACACGAGACAAACAATCTTGGGGGAAAACAATACTCCAATCAAGGAACCCCCAAGGAGAAAGACGACACACACACACACACAATACTGGGGCAGAGCAAGCTACTGTACATAAACAAGCAGCAAATTCCCACATGCAATCGCACGGATGATGTTCCCTAGTTGGGTCATGAAACGTCGGCGAGAAAAACAACCAGGTTCAGAGAGCATCTGGGACCCTACAGTCCTTCTCCTCTTCCTCCCTCACTCTTCTTCCTTCAACTCCGGATACCCCGCTCCCTTCTAGCACTGATGATGTCACTTAGCTGGGGAATTCTGGGAACTGAAGTCCACATCCCTTGTGGTTGAAGTTGAGCAACACCGCCTTACGTCAGGATGATGGCATGTAACCCCATTTAAATCATGAGTCTCGAGCCAAACTTCCAAAACTTCAAAAGGATTAATTGGGAGGTAACATGTCCGGCACTGAGAGATATAATTCATTGTCACCCTTGACCCTGGTTTTCCCTCCACCCCCTGGGTGTATCGTAATTCATATTCTCCAATGGGACACCTCCCTAGCCCAGAGTCATCCATCAGGCTCTCCAGCCAGCAGAAACTCCAGTCGCCTAGTTACCATCTTTGAAAACATTTATGGAATGCAGTTTCGGTTTGCGAGCTGCCCCACTGCTCCCCGCTCTCTTTCAGTTGGCAACTCTAAAAAGGGCATAGAAGTATTTTACAAAACCCGCTTTTCCCCCCCCGCCCGTGTGTGTCTCAAGGACACGATGGAGGGCAAACGGGCACGGTGGGCAAAGGGGCGGAGTGGGCCAGCCCGGGAGCGGTCCCACGAGACGGGGTGGCCGTTCCGATCGAAACCATTCCTTCTCTTGCAGAAAAAGCAAAAGCCGCAGCAAGTCGAGTCGATCTCGCCGAAGCCATTCGTCCAAGCAAGGTAAGCGAGGCTCCCGAACTCAGGATCGTAGAACGACCACGTTGGAAAAGGGCCTTGGAGGTCTTCTAGTCCAGCCCTCGGCTCAAAGAGGAGAGTCCGCTACCCCAAATCAAGGAACCACACCCCCCACACTAAGACTGGCAGGGCCAAGCGGCTGGATATAAACAGGGAGCAAACTCCACTCCCTTTGAACACTGAAGGGGTTCCCTAGTTGGGTCACAAAATGTCTGCAAGAAAATCACCGAGCTCAGAGAACCCCAAGGACCCCATAGTGCTTTTCTCCTCCTCCTCCTTCACTCCATTCCACTTTGCCCCAAGGATAGCACAGTCGCCCTCTTCCTCTTCCTCTCTTCAAACCCCACTCCTTTCTAGCACTGAAGGTGTTCCCTAGCCTGGTAATGAAACGTCTGCAACAAAACAACCAAGCTCAGGGAATACCAAGGAGCCCACAATCCTCCTCCTCCTCCTCCTCCTCCTCCTCCTCCCCACGAACCTCACTCCCTTCTAGCACTGATGATGTTCCCTAGTTGGGTCATGAAACGTCGGCAAGAAAACAGCCAAACCCAGAGAGCTCAAAGGTGCCTTCAATCTTCTTCCTCCTCCTCCTCCTCCCCCCCCCCTGACCCCCCCCCCCGAGGTTCCCTAGTTGGGCCGTGAACGGCCCGCAAGCCCCACCGGAGCCCCCCCGTTGGCCACCCGGAGCTACCAACCTCCCCTTGTGTCTCTCCTCTTGCCTTCCCCGCCAGTGGTGCGCCAGGCTTCCCGAAAGATCTCCTCCTTCATGGGCTCCTTGTCGGGGAGCGGCCAGAAAGCGCCCAAGAGTTCTCGCAGCAGCCGGAAGCCCTCGACAAGCAAAGAAAGGAAGCGCTGAACAGCCCCCCCCCCCCCCACCACCCCCCCCCCCCCGAGAAAAAAAAACAAAAAGAAAAACCAGAGGCCTGAACCAGGCGTCTTTCTTTTCCTGAATCGCTTTCGTTAGTAAAGATGATGGCTAGAAACACATCGGGGAAACTTGGTCGTCTTTGGTTCCTGGTCTTGTAAGAAGAGCGTTTTCCAGCCTCCCACAAATTTTTTTTTTTTAAGGCAGATGGACTTCAACTCCCAGAATTCCCCAGCCAGCCAAGCTGCCAGCCAAAGGAATGCTGGGGGTTGAAGTCCACCTGTTTGAAATTTTTACCCATGATGCCTGGTCTCGGAGTGTGACATCACTTCATGTCATGGCTTCTTAGCAAGTGGGGGGGGGGCTGTCCCCCAAACTTTGAGGGCTTTGCTTGCACTCCACCAGTGATGGGATTCGATTTTTTTTTACTACTGGTTCTTGTTGGGCGTGGCAGGGGAAGGTTCCTGCAAATAAAAACCACCCTTCCCTCCCCATCCCACTGACCTGCTTTCCAGCTCCGTTCTCCCGTGCAGGGCAACCCAAGGAGACCCAACCGATCAGCTGGGACTCAATGGGAAGCAGAGAAGAGATGGGGTTGGCGTGGCCAGTCAGAGGCGGGTTCTCCAAACGACTCCAAATTTCCGCTACCGGTTCCCCAGAACCGGTCGGAACCAGCTCTGCATCCCACCCCTCAAGATGGGGGCGAGTGGACGATCACTTTATTCCCAGCAACCCTTTCTCTGTGCTTTGCCCCGGTTCTCATGAGGGTCGACGTAACACCTGTTGTTAGTACAATAGGTCAGCTCAACCAGAGCACCCTCCAACTTGACTGACCCTGAGCCCAGAAATCTGGCAATCTGGCATCTGCCCCGGCCTGTTTCCCTGACTTTTGACCCCACCGACCTCTCGCTACTCTCTCCCGTGGCCAGGTTGAGGCAGCTGCCCTGTTAGAGGAACAAAACAAGGAGCGCACATTTTATTCCCCCCCCCCCCCCCCCCCCCCACACACATACAACAGAGATCCTGGGATTTTCCGCTGGCTGAGAGAGAGAGAGAGAGAGAGAGAGAGAGAGAGAGAGAGAGAGAGAGCTGCCTTTCGAAAGCGGCTTGTTCGGTGTCCGTCTGCAAAGGCCACTTAAAGCACAAAAGGAGCCAGGTTGGATGGGGATGGAGGCGCCCAAGCTGTCGCCTCCCAGGAAGTGGGTTGCCACCGGGCAGGATCACAATGTCCTCCATATGTCGTGGGACGATGGACGGCCCTGCCACAATGGGCACCACAGACGAGCTGGGGAAAGCGACAGCATGTTCACACTTTCCAACCCCACCCCCCCCCCCACCCCCTGATTAATCGGTCTGCTCCTTCCTTGCAACCACACGCAGACGCAGACGGCCTGAGGGGGGCGGTGGGAGACAGCGAGGGGCGCCAAGCAGCAGAAGGAGAGGCCGCCGCACCCTGGAATTGGCCTTCTGGCTGGTCCCCGGAGCCCTTTCCGTGGAGGAGGAGGAGGAGGAGGAGGAGGAGGAGGAACGGGGATCGATCCGCTGCGTCCCCAGGAGGTCGTCCAAATGGAGAGCTTGGATTTTCCAGCAGTAGCAGGGCATTTGAGGGAGGGGCCAGGCTGCCTTTCTGGGAAAGGGCAGGGTGCTTTTAGGGGGTGCAGATACAGAATAGAATAGAACAGAACAGAACGGAACGGAATGGAACGGAACGGAATAGAATAGAAGTAGAATAGAATATAGAATAGGGTAGAATAGAATGGAATGGAATAGAATAGATATTGGGAGGAATAGAATAGAATAGAATAGAATAGAATAGAATAGAATAGAATAGAATAGAATAGAATAGAATAGAATATAGAATGGAATGTAGAACAGGGTAGAGTAGAGTAGAGTAGAGTAGAATAGAATAGAATAGGCTATTGGAATGAAGGAATAGGATAGGATAGGATAGGATAGGATAGGATAGGATAGGATAGGACAGGACAGAACACAACAGAACACAACAGAACAGAACAGAACAGAATAGAACAAATATAGAATAGAATAGCAAATAGAATAGAATAAAAAAGAAAATAATAGAATAGAATTAGAATAGAACAGAACAGCATAGAATCTCTTTATTGGCCAAGTGTGGTTGGACACACAAGGAATTTGTCTTTGGTGCGAATTGTCTCAGTGTACATAAAAGAAAAGAGACATCCGTCAAGAGTTAAGAATCATCAGGTACGACGCTTAATGATAGTCATAGGGCACAATAAGCAATCAAATCATACTGGGAAACAGTCAACATAAATAATAAGGATACAAGCGACAAAGTTACAGTCATCCAGTCACAGGTGGGAGGAGATGGGTGATAAGGAGTGATGAGAAGATTAATAGTAATAGTAGTGCAGACTTAGTAAATAGCTGGACAGTGTGGAGGGAATTATTCGTTTAGCAGAGTGATGGCATTCAGGAAAAAAACTCCCCTTGTGTCTAGTTGTTCTGGAGTGCAGGGCTCTGTAGCGTCGTTTTGAGGGAAGGAGTTGAAACAGTTTATGTCCAGGATGTGAGGGGTCTGTAGACTAGCACGTCCCCTCCCGCTTCTTGAAAACCTCTTTTGCCCATCAAGCAGCTTCTGAGATGTTCTTACAGGGAATAATGGAAGAGAAATTTAGCAAAGCTAAATTAATATAATTTAATATAATACATGTAATCATGGCAGCAAGAATGATATTCGCCCAAAACTGGAAAGCAAGAAAAATCCCTAGGAGGAAGTTGCGATTGATAAGATATTACAATGCGCAGAAATGGATAGGTTGACTTTGGAATTGAAGGAGCAAGATGAGTCAGAATACCATAAAATATGGAATACGTTTTATTATTGGAAGGACGTGAAAGGGAGTTCATAAAATTGAAATAAGAATGAAAGGTGAAATAGGGAAGATGTGGGGACCTCCTATTTGAGGAATAACGAGAAGGAACTAAAAAATCACAGTTTAAATCTGTGTGTGTGTGTGTGTGTACATAACTTTTTTATTTTTCTAAATGCAATATGTATTGACAGAAATGTACATTCAACGTTTTTAATGCGTATACTCAATTAAAAATAATGTTTTTAAAAAGCGATGGCTGGTTCTTCAGAACAGCCAGGCGGATCGATTGGGCAGCCCGGCTTCACATCGTCCCTGGCAAAAAAATGTGTATGAAAGTGGATAAACCCCCCCAAATGGGATCCCTGGCGCATTGGATTAAATTGGGGTGGAGTAATCCCCACTTTCGAGGTTTTTTAAATCCCACTGACCTGGAGAAAGGCAGACTGACCTCATTGGCTACTCGGCCCCCATTGATACCGCCAGAGATGGTGGTACATTATTATCCTAGCATATGAAATGAATCGTAAGTACAAAGACTTCCAAACAGGAATGGAATGACTGTGGCAAAAGAAAGCAAAGGTAAGTACAGCATCGTTGACGCCTTGCGTGCAATCTCACCGCATCTGGAGCACCACTTGAACACTGTCATCATTGACAAATTCATGTATCAGTCAATTGCGAAAAGGCAGCTTTATTTAGGACAGTTGACATCCTGCAACAATACTTGTAAACACCATCAAAGATCCCCATCTGCCTATCCCAACTCCTTGGGAAGGATTTGATGGGTGAACAAAAACACCTTTTTGGCACTTCGAATCTCACCAGGCTTAAGGTTGACTCAGCCTTCCATCCTTCAAGGGGGGGTAAAATGAGGACCCAGATTGTTGGGGGCAATATGCTGACTCTGTAAACCGCTTAGAGAGGGCTGGAAAGCACAGTGAAGTGGTATATAGGTCTATTGCTGTCTTTTCCTTCCTTCCTTCCTTCCTTCCTTCCTTCCTTCCTTCCTTCCTTCCTTCCTTCATCCTTCCTTCCTTCCCTCCTTTCCTTCCCAGTTGTCAGAATGTAGTTTTGCAGACTAAGTCTGCCAACTGCCAGTAGTTCGATCCTGACTGGCTCAAGGTTGACTCAGCCTTCCGTCCTTCCGAGGTGGGTAAAATGAGGACCCAGATTGTTGGGGGCAAGAGGCTGATTCTGTAAACCGCTTAGAGAGGGCTGGAAAGCTCTGTGAAGTGGTATATAGGTCTATTGCTATCTTTTCCTTCCTTCCTTCCTTCCTTCCTTCCTTCCTTCCTTCCTTCCTTCCTTCCTTCCTTCCTTCCTTCCTTCCTTCCTTTCCTTCCTTTCCTTCCTTCCTTCCCTCTCTTCCTTCCCAGTTGTCAGAATGTAGTTTTGCAGGCTAACTCTGCCAACTGCCCACAGTTCGATCCTAACCAGCTCAAGGTGGACTCAGCCTTCCATCCTTCCAAGGCGGGTAAAATGAGGACCCAGATTGTTGGGGGCAACAGGCTGACTCTGTAAACCGCTCAGAGAGGGGCTGTCAAGCACCGTGAAGCGATATATAAGTCTACGTTCGCTTGCTATGACTCCCTCAGCCACCCTGGGCCCACCGTTTTGGCCAGATCCACCAGCAGACTGGATGGGCAGCCTCGGTCGGATTCGTGCGCCTTCAGCTCAGGAGCAGCCAGGAGGAAGGAAGGCCGGGCCTCCTCCCTTTCATTAAAGTGTGTCCAGGCATGTCCCCTGGGGCCCACCCTACCCCCCCCAGAACTACCATCCCCATCCGTCATAAACAAGGACGCAGCTGTTGCGGTGGCCGAGAATCAAAAGCATTGCAGCCTTTGGCCCTTTGAGATGGTTGGGGCTGCCAAGGGGGGGGAGAGGGCTGTGGAAGAGGGTGGGGGCTCCTCCTGGGGGCAGAGGGGATGGAGGGGGGAACAGAACTCGTGCAAAATGCACAGCCTTCAAGGGGGTCTTTTAATCGGGGCTCCGTCCTTGGCACCACCGAACGTCTCTGGCGAGGAAGCTGAGTACAGCGGAGACAGCATCCTATGCCGCTCGTGGTGAAGGCTCCTCTGCCAAGGGGCTGCCGCCGCCCTTTCTGGCACATTCCTGGGCGATGCCTCTGCTTTGGTC